CCACTCATCTACGCTTTTTCAAATATTTTCTCTCTTTCTCTGTTATCTCGGAAACTTGATAAATTAAACATATTTTCAGGCGCGCAACTAGGGGGGGGGCAACGCCCCCCCTAGCCTGATTAAGGGGGAGGCATGTCCCTCTCTTAAAAAGGCTTTCCCCCCTATAAAATCTTTTTTTCATCATGCCCCCTCCTAACAAAATGTCTAGTTGCGCGCCTGTGTTCATAATTTTGATCATAGGTATGAAACACTTGCTTAAGAGCCTAACGAGAGGATGGGTTCATTAGTTGAGTACATTTTTTACTAATAAATAAAGCCCTGATTCGATTTCAGGATAAAAATGGTAAATAACAATTCACAAATTAAGCATAAATAGATTTAAATTGAATGAGAAATTGATAAATCGTTAAATTGACAATTCTTGTTTTGGGATATAACCTGTTTCGCGACGAAATCGTCTCGTTCTGAATTCGCCCCTGAGCTCTCCACGCGAAATATGTGAAATCCCTGAAGTTGAAGAGGGGGGGGGACGAGTCTGTAGTACCGCACCGAAACAGTTTAGATTTGTAAACTTTACCTTAGATTTATACTGTATCCGCCATTTGACGTCAGAATTATACTTGATATTTTAATATTGGAAGATTAATTAGGATTACTATGTTCTATTACCTGATACATGAGCTTTGTATCCTTGGATTGTATATATTAATCTGAGTTTTAAGATGTTTAAGATTATCGCAGTTTTTTATTCTCATGAGCACATGGTTTACTCTTGTAACGACTTTTGTATATTGCTTCATTTATTTCATTAATGTTTCTAATATTTCCTCCTTTGTTTATAAATAAATTAATAATTCGGGCAATCTATTACAGATTGAAACCGTCTGTCATTATCCAGAGCACTGGTATTTTCGAGAAGAGATTTGAAAAGAAGTATACAGTACGAAGAGAGTCTGGGAAATAATGATGGTTGCGATCACCTTTTAACAGATCATGACAAGGTTGATACTCTAGGATATTTTAAGCAGCCAGATTTGGTCGCATAACATAACCACCCCTCAACCAAGCCAACCATATAAAACCACGAAGGAAGGGAACAGATAGAATCCCCAGGCACTTGATATTTGTTTGCTAATTGTTTTGTAGAAAAGGCAGCAATAATATAAAACATTTCTTTCTGATTTTATCAGTGGAATCCCAAACAAATGTCAACCAATGTTGGGATTGGAAGAATTGGGATGAGGATTAGGAAGTTGGAATAGGTTAGATAGGGACCAATTGGGAGTAGACAACGGAGTTATAGTGTATAGAGTGATGTACGCTAATCCTTTACTAATTGTAGAGGCCATGAACTATACCGAGAGCGTACTGCATATTTATTTATTATAAGGAGATTCTGGCCTGACCTATAGTATATCGTTATTATTAAACAGTTGTAAGTTTACAGTACAGCTAACTGAGCATACAGGTAGGAAACTATCATCCCCCCTGCAGAGTAGATAAAATAGGTTAGGAACTGGAATGAGTATCAACTAAAGAGGAAATTGGGATTGGGATTCAATGAAGGTTAGGATGATAAAAATGGTTGGTGAATTGGGAGTTGGAGTAATTGGGAAGATTGAGTAATACATATATGTTTTATGGGGACCACTGTATTAGAATGGAATAAGCAAAATATTGAAGTAAAGAATAAAGATACTGCAGATAAAATAAAATATGTGTATATATAACTATAGAGAATAAGTAATTAAGTGGATAAAAATGTTAATAAGGGGCGGAGACGATATTTTGGAAGGAATAAGCGGATTATTGTTAAGTTAGAATAAGAGAGAGAAGAGTATAAAAATCATCTTTAGAATCATTCAATACTCTGAAACAATATATTTCAGACTTTATCAGACAAAGCTTTCGTTTACTATTGTGAATCGGACATTGCCATCTTGGCATTGACAGTCCCTTTATAAGTAGAATTATATATATTTTTGTTGAAAAAAGACTTTTATAGAATTTATAAAATCAAGAAAAATAATTTAGATTTGTACAAACTGGTTTTTCTTCATAATCTGTAGATTTAGATATTAATTATTGGATTAATCAAACTTTGAAGAATTTATGACGACATCTAACGCTCAAAATTTTAACTAAAAATACATTTAACCCTATAATATTTTATTATTGATTTCAAACATAGTGAAACATATGAAGTAATTAAGTGTTCAATAATAATATTTAAAGAGTTATGAACAATGAACAGTTAAACAGTCCCACGTGTAAACATAAAAACTAAAAATATCTTTCATCAAATAATTTACAAAAGAAGTTTATACACATTAATCAATACTATCCAGAGCTATCAACAAGGATTGAAACTTTAATGAAGACCTTAATCTTTTTAATTGTGAAGCTTTTACGGTTGAATTTGAACTTCTTTTAATTCGGGTGAAAACAGTTTTACAGCTGCAAGAGCTATGAATATAAGGAGAAATATTGAATGATATCAAAGACCAAACCTTTCTAGTTAACTCTGTAGATAGCTTCAATTTGAAAAAAACGACGATTAAAAAGTCTTCCGATTAGAAACCTGGTATTTTTAACTTCATATCCACCTAATTTCTATATTTTTTGTTACTAATTTGACAATTACACCCCTAAAAATATTTGTAATACATTATTTAAATCAAGACAAAAGAAATAAAACATTGATTTTTCGAGGAGTAAGTTAAGAACGGACAATGAATTAAACATAAAAGGATTAAATTGAATATTGAAGGATCGATCTAATGTTAAAAAATCAATCAAATATTGAAAAATCAATCAAGAATCAATCAAATATTGAAAAATCAATCAAATATTGAAGGATCAATTAAACATTAAAGAATCAATCTATTATTGAAAAATCAATCAAATAGTGAAGAATCAATCAGACATTGAAGGATCAATCAGGATTATTCAATTGTTGAAGGATCAATCAGGATTATTCAATTGTTGAAAGATCAATCAGGATTATTCAATTGTTGAAAGATCAATCCAAGTCCCAGTCTCCTAACTCTCCTAACTCCGCAACATCTAAAAATTCAAGGTTAGTAAAAAATTACAATTATAATATGATGATCTGAAAAAACCGAGAAGTAAGTGGTCCTCCATTTTAAAAACAACTATTATGTGGTCCTCTATTTAAAAAAAGGGGCACGTTCAATTCACACGGTACCTTTTATTTCTTCGTCTGAACAAAACTGATGAAGATATCCTTGTTTTCCTAATTAAATAGCGAACATTTTCAATTGTGGTTTCTTGGTAAAAGGAGGACACTTAACAAGGTAGAAATATTTAGGTGCAAAAGGTACCTTAGTAAATCGGGCATCTCAAATTAATCACTTTAAAATGTCGAAAGTCTTTAGCCCCTCATGTGAAATATCAAAATGCCAAGATCAAAAATATAAACTCAAAAGTAAAAAAAGAAAAAAGTAAAAAAATTAACATACCATTCATGAGGTTTCTCTCTCCAGTTGTTAATCCTTCATCAAACTAAGCATTATCAAAACATTATCATAAACAATTATTAAAAAAATAAATGTTGATTAGAGAGAGGCTGTTATCGGAAAAAAACAGGAGTTTGTAATGAACCATAATTTAATTTTATTTCATTTCTATTTGAAGTTTCTGTTGAGAAAATTTTAAAAATCCCCTTTCCACAGACATTAAATGAGATAAAAACTCCTTTTATTCATCGCGAACNTACGTTGAAAGCTGTACGATTAAAGGGACTGTAAACGTAATTTCAAGTGACCCCCCATTGATAGAGTAGCATATGAGATTCACAACGGTACCCTTAATAGCGTTGTCTGGTCAAGTATAAAATAGATATCCATGTTTTCGTTTTTGAAAACTGATTAATTTTATCTGGGGTTTTTCTTGAAAACTGACTTGCGAATTTCTTGCTTCAGAAACTATGAACAAATGTTCAGAATCAAATTGACTTAAATTGATGTTTTTACACGCATAAACCTGCTCTAAAGTATATGAGGCTTAACAACAAAAAATAGGCTTGGTCGGTTTATTAGATACAAACTAACTGACAACCAGACAGACTAAATATTATTGTCATACAGGGTTACCCACAAAGGATGAGACTTCAGAGACGACTGTACGAAAGTACAGTTTGTTTCTTTATGATAATGTATCCCTGCAATTTTACAATTGTTTATTTTCTTATACAAAATAATTTAATTTAAGTTTGTTTCTTTATGTTAATCCCTGCAATTTTATTTCTTTTCTTACAAAATCATTTAATATGCCATTAAAAGATTAAAGGGTTATCAACAAAGGATGAGGCAGAAAAGACGACTTTAACCTATTCAAACATGACGATCCCAAGTTTAAAATACGTCTTTAAATGGCTTAATTAATGAGTTGGCCAAGAAAGAAAAAAGTTTTATAGCTGCAAGGAATCATAAATATAAGGAAACAGACAGTATATATTACGTTCAGTCGTCTTCTAAGTCTCATCCTTTGTGGGTAACTCTATACATTTAGGACAGACTCAATTTAACCTTGAGATCGTCATATTTAAATAGCAGTTTTATCCTTTGATGACAACCCTGTATACTGTTTATCATGTATTTATATCTAGAAGCAATAAATGTAATTCTAAAATAGCGTATATTCAGAACAGAAGATTTAATTTAACCTTGAGATCGTCAAATTTAAATAACTTCAAGTTGTCTCTGAAGTCTTATCCTTTTTTAGGGCAACTCTGTAGAAAATATAATTTAACCTTGAGATCGTCATATTTAAATAGTTCCATGTCGTCTTTACAGGCTCATCCTTTGTGGATAACTCTGTATAATCAAGACAGTAGATTTAATTTAACCTTGAGATTTAAATAGTTCCATGTCGTCTTTACAGGCTCATCCTTTGTGGATAACTCTGTATAATCAAGACAGAAGATTTAATTTAACCTTGAGATATAATTAGTTTCATGTCGTCTTTACATTCTCATCCTCTGTGGGTAACCCTGTAATGATCACCTGTTTAGCTGCGTTGATAGTGTTGAAGTCCATTAGTCTAGGAGAGGATCCATTAAGCTTCTCAATAAACATTAGCGTGGCGGGGAAATCACTAATTATTTCATCTTAACGGGACTGTCAATTGGGCTTTTCAAAATGTAAATTTTAGATCAATGGCTCAAATTATAAAAAAGTAATGGACTATTTTTGTTCTAGAACAAGGAACGATGATAATCGTTAACATTCTTTATCGTTAACGATTATCCACTGTTAACAACTGTTCTCGATCAAGAACACAAAGAACGGAACGTTAATGGAATGATTGGAAGAATAACAAACAAGGAACAAACTATCCAGCTGAAGGCCCTGGTTCTAGAACGAGGAAGAAACGATTTTAAAAAAATAGGAACACGCCCAGCCGTATATTTAAACCATTTAATCCTTTTTGAGAAAAATTATGAAGATATTCATTGTTTTTCGAGCTAAAAATTTATAGTTTTCAATGAACTTTATGATTATGCAGCATAGACAAGGAAACTGTCAGAATATAACACTTTCAAGTAGAAAAATGAAAAAGCGTCCTCTCATTGTAGCTCGGATAAAATGGGTCTGTTGTGAATCGAACTTTTGATATTATATTGATCAAATTATAGTTCTTAAAGACACTACAGAAGTAACAAGACAACAGTGGAATTATTGATTTTAATCAACTTATGATTTGTTAATTTGTAACTGCACAATGAACTGCTAGGATGACAAAACTCTAAGAATGCACAGTGGGTTAAAGATGTATTCCTGAAGGGGACAATTCCGTTTGCCATCTCACACGCTACCACGCCGAGGGAGTAGATGTCACTTGTCTCACTGTAACCCAGTAGGTTCTAGGGTAGGTAGTAAGATACAGAAAATAACACAAAATAACGTAATCAAAAAGTATATCATGAAAATGACGTAATAATAATGTTTTGCAACAAAATTCTTTCCATGTCAAATCACGCAATTTGGAAGCTTGTTTTACAGCAGGTTATGGATTATTCAATTGTTGAAGGATCAATCAGGATTATTCAATTGTTGAAAGATCAATCAGGATTATTCAATTGTTGAAAGATCAATCAGGATTATTCAATTGTTGAAGGATCAATCAGGATTATNCGAGTGCTGTGGCTAGGATATACAAGGGTTTAAGCACTGCGGCTAAGATGTCGACTGTCGAGTGCTGTGGCTAGGATATACAAGGGTTTAAGCACTGCGGCTAAGATGTCGACTGTCGAGTACTGTGGCTAGGATATACTAGGGTTTAAGCACTGCGGCAAAGATGTCGACTAGCGAGTGCCACGGCTAAAACATTTCACCCTCAACTAAGCTTCCGGTAAGCTTGGAAAAATATTTTTAAAACAGTATCTTTTCCTGTTTCAGTATTTCCGGCGCCAACCACTCGAGGTTACTGGTGATACAGTGGAGAGGATAATCATATAGGGTAGAACTCTGATCTCCTGGATATTAAAAGAAATGAAATTATTGTGCAACATTTTCGATCTGACAAAGCAAGGAACCAAAACCATTTTTAAAACATTTTTACGAATCGTTTTTATTCTTCTTTTGGCCTAGAATCTAGGAACTCTACAAGTTAAGCGGTAAATTGAACTCTGACAAATATAGAAACCAAAATGAGGATTTTTAACATTTTTACCAATCGTTTATATTCTATATTTTGTCTATATTCTTGGTTTATATCTAGAATCTAGGAACTTGTTCTTGGTGTTGATGGGCAATGGGCATATCAAACAAAGTATTTATATGTCCAAGTAAAAATTTCAGTGAAAAAAAATTGAATGAAACGCTAATATGTGGATTTTAATGAAGAATTATTACCAATAGCATTCAGCGGAGTTGAATATCTGAATCCAGTGAGAACACATCTTCCAGATTCATTGATCAGGAGATGGGAACATCGGACTGATCTATGTACAACACCCTACAAATAGATTATTAGATCATTGATCAGCATTCATTATGATCAATGATCGGCAGTTGGAATCAGCGTACAGCACTTAACCTTGATACAAAAAAGGTTATGGATAATTGATCAAAAAAGTTGATCAGGAGCATTCAATAGATACAAATAGATCAAGGATCTTTAATCAGGAGCATTTACTATGATCAATGATTGGCAGATGGGAACAGTGTTATGCACTTCATTCACCAAGAGATAGATCACGGATCATGAATGAATACCTGATCATGAATATACTGAAGAGCGTGAAGTAAATCTTTAATGATGAAACAGCAGGCAAGCTCAGAAAGTCCTAAACATTTTCAGGACTACAAACTTTTAGGGAATCCTTATTATTTTGGATCTATGGATCCTGATACAATTATATATACACTTAGCTTGTCTGTCTGTCTGTTAAAACCCAATAAAAGTCTGAACCAATCGGTCCCTAATTTTGTGTGCGACCTCACATGACCCCAAGGAAGGTTTATGGATGCTCAAAATAACAAAAATTTGTGTCCAAAAGTTTTAGATATTTCCTCCTGGAAACTAGTTTGCTTAAATGATAAAGGTATATCTTTTGCTTTCAACTAAGTCAAAAGTCCCTTTTAAGAGAGTGACTGGTTAGACAATAGACATGGTAGTTGAGTTGGGAGTGCAGTAATGTAAAGAATATTTTTAAAGAATTTATCTTAGAATTTTAAGACGTTTTAGCTGTGTATAATTGATAAGTAAGAGCGCAAATTCGATCTTTAAAATTCTCCGGGACTGTCCATATTGAAGGCTTGCTTCTAAGAATTTTTTTTTTCAAAAAATATTCAATAACGACGAAGAAAAATAAAACAAAATCCTCTACAATACTGAACTCTCAGTTCAACTACCATGTATAGCCAGTCACTCCCTTTAAAAGAAAAAATACCTTCTTGGAAATGTTCTTTAAGAAGGTTACTAACACTTCCGTAGACCATCAGTGGAGTTACAATCCATATCTAGAGAAAGTTTAAGTTATTAATAATCATCTAGTAGTAATTAATAATCAAATATCTCTAATTTTTTATAAATAGTTCAAAGCTATTCTAAATTGTCTTTTATGACAAAAAATATTTCACTTTCTTATATAGAGAAATAAGTTCACTTCAACAAGATATAAAATGGAAAAGACAGAAAACGAAGAGTTAAATATAGTAAAGATCCTTCCATCCTCTACTATAGAGGATACATTAACTGAAGAAACAGGAATACAAGGTCTGGTATGCTTTTAAAAGAAGAAACAAAGACTAGAGAGGACAAGTCGCTTAAGAACGTATTGTATGGAATTGTATACTAGTGCATGTACATGGGGTTAAAAAGTTTAATGAGGGTTAATGGTTAAAATATGCTGATAGAAAAAGTTTAACATTAAATTGTAATCCACAAACTTTTTAAAAAACTAGCCTACCCTTCATTAATTCAGTAAGTATGTTGCTTTTGAATTTGCAAAAAGCGGGTGGACGCAGATATGGACCCAGAGAATTGGGGTAATCAAAAGAAGCAGTATGGGATTAGAAGAATGAATTGATTTTAACAATATGGGGGAAAATGAAATGCAATTTTAAACGACTAATGGAACTGGAATAGTCTGTTAGGGGAATAGGTTAAACCTTAATTATCAAAATCTGTAAATAAACGATTGTTTGATGATTTCTTAAGATAATGTATTAACCTTTAAGTGTCTAAAACTATAAATAAATGATTGTCGGATGATTCTTAATGTTTGAAGGAGAATAACAAGATAAAGAAGACAATTGAGGTGTTTCCCCCCCCTATAAATAACTGATTGTCTGATCATTCTTAATGTTTGAAGGAGAGTAACAAGATAAAGTGGACAAATGAGGTGTTCCCCCCCCCCCTATAAATAAATG